ACTGTGTAATATAGCCTTGGTTATCTTGGCAGGCCACTAGCGTACTCACTGTGTAATATAGCCTTGGTTATCTTGGCAGGCCACTAGAGTACTCACAGTGTAATATAGCCTTGGTTGTCTTGGCAGCCCACCAGCGTACTCACAGTGTAATATAGCCTTGGTTATCTTGGCAGGCCACTAGAGTACTCACAGTGTAATATAGCCTTGGTTATCTTGGCAGCCCACCAGCGTACTCACACTGTAATATAGCCTTGGTTATCTTGGCAGGCCACTAGAGTACTCACAGTGTAATATAGCCTTGGTTATCTTGGCAGGCCACTAGAGTACTCACAGTGTAATATAGCCTTGGTTATCTTGGCAGGCCACTAGAGTACTCACAGTGTAATATAGCCTTGGTTGTCTTGGCAGGCCACTAGAGTACTCACTGTGTAATATAGCCTTGGTTATCTTGGCAGCCCACCAGCGTACTCACTGTGTAATATAGCCTTGTTTATCTTGGCAGCCCACCAGCGTACTCACTGTGTAATATAGCCTTGGTTATCTTGGCAGCCCACCAGCGTACTCACTGTGTAATATAGCCTTGGTTATCTTGGCAGCCCACCAGCGTACTCACTGTATAATATAGCCTTGGTTATCTTGGCAGCCCACCAGCGTACTCACTGTGTAATATAGCCTTGGTTATCTTGGCAGCCCACCAGCGTACTCACTGTGTAATATAGCCTTGGTTATCTTGGCAGCCCACCAGCGTACTCACTGTGTAATATAGCCTTGGTTATCTTGGCAGCCCACCAGCGTACTCACTGTGTAATATAGCCTTGGTTATCTTGGCAGCCCACCAGCGTACTCACTGTGTAATATAGCCTTGGTTATCTTGGCAGCCCACCAGCGTACTCACTGTGTAATATAGCCTTGGTTATCTTGGCAGGCCACCAGCGTACTCACTGTGTAATATAGCCTTGGTTATCTTGGCAGCCCACCAGCGTACTCACTGTGTAATATAGCCTTGGTTATCTTGGCAGGCCACTAGCGTACTCACTGTGTAATATAGCCTTGGTTATCTTGGCTGGCCACCTGCATCGTATAATATAGCCTTGGTTATCTTCCATGCGAAGGACGAACAACAAAACAATATATAACACATCATATATGTAAAAATATGTTGTTAGTAGTGAATCTGTATCTATCAAATTAGCTCATCATTCTGGTACAGTGCTGCTGTATCTATTAAGATGTCAAATGGTCATTCTGGTACAGCGCTTATAGTGCTGCTGTATATGTCAAATCATCAGTTAGTCATTTTGGTACATGGTGTATTTATCAAATTATAAGTTGTTCATATTGGTAAATTGCAGCTTTATCTATCAAGTTGTCCATTGGTCATATTGGTACAGTGCCATACTACAAGGGTTCATTTTGTGTGTTGTAAAGATATAAAATGAAGAGCCACTGTGCTGAGATGTTGGAGCCATTGTGTCAGCTATAAAAGTAAATCATCAGCACAATAAACTATTGTGTTTGCTTACGTTCAAATGACTTTCGATACATAGATGAAAGAAAATTGTTTTGATTGTATTTCTTTAACTTTGTCATTGATACAATGGAAAGGTAACAAATATTTAAATAATTTTCAGGTCCGCAGGATGAGCATGAGGAGGAAGGCAATCCCCACGGTACAATTATAGAGCGTGATAGGAAAAGAAATTCAGGAAACACTGCATATAATTCATCAGAGAGAAAACACATGGCAGGTTATCTTACACTGGCATCAATGACTTCACTTACAGTAGCCTGTTTAACTCTTGGACTCTTTCTTCTCCCACCTCGATTGGCATAATGATAGCTCTCATTTTTTATGTATCACAATAATTATTTTTCTCATTCATTCTTAATAGGCTATCAGTTTTACTTGCCACTCATTGGCATTTAGATTTCATGTTTTGAGAAAAACCTTACAAAGAAATATCAGTAAATAAATTGAATTATATGGTAATTCTTTTAACAACTTTTTCAAATAACTTTTTGAATTTTCTTGTAGATAAGTTACTAAGCAATATATATTCTTAATTGTTGCTGTTTTCTAAATTATAAAGGAAGATTTATATCAAATAAAGCAAATATTATTTTCACTGAATTTTTTTAAATTGTGTATCAAAATGATTATCCTCAGTTACTGATGTAGTATTGGTAGTAAGGCACAGCATGTACAATGGTTATTTTATTGACATTTTATAAAAAGTAAATATCTTTGTCAGAGGAATGTATATTTTATTACAAAATAAAGCAGTTAAATTAGATTTTAGAATCAATAATGTTTTTTTAAACTATATGCCATAGACTCACATCAAAATGCTAATTTTCAACAGGCTTTGTATGTAATAGTCAACTAACTGCAATAAAACAGAAACAAAATGCAAATAAATATTTAATTATGCACTAGATGTGAAAGGCACCTCTCAAACAGCTGCAATGAGAGAAATTGTTAACATAGATTATTCAATTAAATTAGAGATGTCCCTCCCACTCTACCATTATGGTTTTAATGTCAAGGGAAACTTGACCTAGAAATCTTTTTTAAATGGTATCAAATGATTTGAACCAAAACTCTGAACTATACGGACTATAAAAAATTCCAATTTTTGCAGGAGCTTTGTTCTGGTTCTGGTAGGGTATGTTGCTGAATCCATGTACTGGGAAATGTGCAACGGTTGGGGATGTGATGCTGGTATTTTAACAGCTCCTAGCGGATGCTAGCGCAGTTTTGAAGCTCTCTATTGATGTCGAGTTTACGGCGGAATTGTCCCAGTGGTTCCAAGCAATGATTGTGTGTGGGAAAAAATGATTGTTTATATTGGACTGTGTTACACCGAGGCACAGTGAAGCATTCACTATTGTTCCAGATGTAATTGCTTATGGGGTTGTTAGAGGCGAAGTCAGTTTTTAGTGAGCATTTGGCTCCGATTAAGCCACCTGGCTTCTGTGGGGTGAGATACATGTTTGCTGGGATGACTGGCACTAGCCCCATGACAACTTTATATAGGAATGTTAGGCGGAGCTTGTCTTTGAGGGAGTAGATGTCAATTCTTTGAAAATGATAGTTGCATTGACTGTTTTTAAGAGTCATGCAGGTTTTAAAAAAATATTTTTTAAATTGGCATCACAGCATTTAAAGGCCTTAACCAATGATACCATGGCAATATGGTTTTGCTTGTTTCAACTGAAGCATTAATTTATTTAAGATGTCTAAAATGAAGAACAAATATGTTGAATGGGAGAGCTGTTTGTTGAAGTAAAACATGAACGTCTTATCATCGTTGACAAGTTTTATATTTTACACTTTTCATGCATATTCTGTTTATTCAAATCAAATTATTAAGAACCCATTTTTTCAACTCTTCACAAATCTATGAGATATTTTTATGTGATTATTTCATAAAGTCGAATGCCATAACCTGTGCATTAGGTTATTATAAATTGTTTTCAAATGTGCTAATGGTTCCATTTTCAAATGTGACAAAATTGTGATAATACATTTACACTTATGGTAATTTAAAGTTTTATTCTTTTAAAACTTTTAACAAATTGCATTTAGTTTCACATAAACGGAGCAATGACATCTAAATTTAATTTTATCAATCTAATATATAACAATTTGACTTTTAGAAATATTGTATGGATGTAGGGAACACTTAAAGCTGTCTGTGAAACTAGTAACAAAAAAAGATGATGTAATTATTTCAAAAATAATGTATGCCTACAAACAGTGAATATAATTTATGATTACACCTCATCATACCGGTATAAAAAATTTCATGGCATGTAGTATGTGTAAAAGTGCAAATTATGTACCATACAATTGTAGATTTGACATTTTTGTATTGCCTGATGTCATTGATGCCAGAGATGAATGATGTATTAAAGACATCAAGATGTCAGAGATGAATGGTGTATTTAAGTTGTTTGTCTCGTAATATTCTTAGTATTAGTGCTTGATGAGCAACAGTTTATGTGAATTATTTCATCTAAGTCATCTAAAGAACAATTTTTTAAACCACTATTGAATTTATTGATGATAATGATTTTGAAATAACATGTTAGTGGATAATTTATTAATTTAATTTTGAAAAATAAAAGTAATATTCACAATTTGTTGTGTCAATGAAAAGAACTTGTGAGTGTTTTTATCTTAATTTTATTTAATCCTGTCTCTAATGTTTTCATTAGCTTTGTTTTCATAGATTCATCTCTGTCTCTTAGGGATCAATGCATCTCTGTGTTACTTAAGGATCAATGCATCTCTGTGTCTTAGGGATAGATTCATCTCTGTGTCTTAGGGATCAATGCATCCCTGTGTCTTAGGGATCAATTCATCTCTGTATCTTAGGGATCAATGCATCTCTGTGTCCTAGGGATCAATGCTTTTCTGTGTCTTAGGGATCAATGTATTTTTGACTCCACATGTCAATCGTCATAGTGAAACCTCGTCCATTTTCAAAAAGTCCCTTAAAACTCATCTGTTTAGGTCCGCCTATGACCTGTGATGCACCCTTCTTGCCCTACCTCATTTTCTGTTTCGGGTTGATCCTGAAGTGTCAAAGTGTCCTCGTTTTATAGCCATTTTCATTGTTTCTATAGAATAGTAGTTACTATCCTAGTGTCTCACTTGTATTTACTTAGTTTACATGTTTTAATAATTGTAAAGCGCTTAGAGCTTTATGATAAGCGCTATATAAAAATGCCTAAATAAATAATAAATAAATCCGTAAGTAAAAATTGGGGCAGGTCTTGTTAAAAATGTACCACTAGACAGTGGAGCTTTATAATTACGATTCAAAAAATTTATTAGATCATTATAAAGCTAAATGTCTTTTTGTTATTAATAATATTTGATGATTCTCTGGTGTCTTAATTTCTTAGTTCATAAGGAAGTCAAAAGCTCTGAAGTTTTTTTGTTTTATATTAAATTAAATTTTATATTAAATATTTCTTTAAGAGTATTGGAGAATAATAATATATTAACACAGGCCAACAAAAAAAAATAATATTTTCTCTTGGTGCTTGGGTTTCAGAGCTGTACATGGTGTCATTTTGTGCACTGATTTTGAAAATTGCATCAGATTTACCAGCTCTAGTTTTGAACAAGTGGTTGATTGTATTATAATTTATTCAGTGTTATATTATATAATATCTCTTTTATTTTGAACAACTGGTTGAAGGTATAATATTTTAGTCCCTATTTTATTATCTCTCATAAGTAGATTGAAGAGGCCAGAAAAACCGTTCTCATTGCAATGGGCAATGTATGTATTTAAATAAAGCATATGTTGGGTTTGTATACAAAACTTCGTCTCCTTCCTTTATATAAGACTAACTGACACACATTTAAGGTAAAAAAAACAAAATCTTCTCTGAATTTTTAACTAATTATTTTGGCCAACAAAAGGTTTGCTACTGAAAGTGGCCGACAAAAGGTTTGCTACTGAAAGTGGCCAACAAAAGGTTTGCTACTGAAAGTAAGTCATAGGGGTTTAAATGGATTAAGACACAATGAATCCAAATATGAAGGGGGCGGGGGCAGTGCCCCACAGGTGTAAGGAGGGGGGTGGTCAGCACTCTGCAAATTTTCATCTTTTTATGGTGGGGCAGCCTACTGTAGATTTTTATCATTGAAAATGGCAGGAAAAAATCTTGGCATGCCCAGTCTGGCACTAGTTTTAGCTACGACACTTAAAGCTAAAAAAAGTATGCATCATGGCGACAAAGGTCGGGGTCATCTATAAATAACTCTGTCCCCTTTGCCAATATAAACTAAATTCATTTTAGTTGAAGATATGCTTTTGGCCCCAGCTAAGTTTCAACCCTGGAATCTATATAGTCGAGCCGTATATAATTATTCCCGTTAGAGATTGATGGCACAGATCGCTCCTTTGTGAAAGTTTTAATTTTAAAAAAATCTAGAAAAGCAGTTAGGTGTGAATTTTCCAAAAAATTTGCAGTAACATAAAAAAAAAGTATTTTTGGAATTTCTAACTACTATAACTTTCTTCATTTAAATTACTAAAGAGCGTTTTTTGCCTTTTGTATTTGTAAGACTCTTTGATTTACTCGCCCACCAAGAAAATAATTTTTATTTTTTTTTTCAAATTCATATTTATCAAAAGAGAAATTTTTTAAATCTAGTACCAAAAATGTTAAATTGATGTGAGAATTGAAAATTGGTTTTGCCATTTTAAAAGCAAAATAAATAACCTAAAATATGTCAATATTCACTAATAATATTTGCAGCATAATGCACCTAGAAGTGTGAGGTGCCCTAGCTGAATAGGGTTCCCTAGAAGCATCCTAGATGTGTGCTGTTCCCTGGAGGCTTGATGCCGCCTAGAGCCATGAGGCCACCTAGAGAAGTGGGCAAGTTTGCCTTAAGATGGCACTGCTTTTCTCCACTAATTTCACTACTGAGCAGTGGCCTAGCTAGCGATATTACCACCCAGGACTAACATTTTAGTCTAACATTGTAACATGATTATAAATACAAATTATTAGTTTATTTGTTGTTCGATTTATATCTGGTAGTGGTGGAAGTAAAACTTGTGGAGGAGAGTTATTCCCCTTTAAGAAGTATCCATCCAACTTGTGATTCCAATTGAAATTATTAATTCTGGAATGTGCCGATATTATTGTGGGTTAAAATGAGTACTTGATCTCATCTCTCTTATCTGACAATCTCACAAGTTAAGCTACAGGTTTTAATGTGGGAAAATATTATTATACTTTTTAAAATGTCTGTTTATGGAGAAGAATAAAAAATAAAGGAAATTCAACAAATAAACAACAGATGAAATATGTCTTCCATTAACAAATCCTAGACATCAAGGTTATATGTCTTCCATTAACAAGTCTTTTACACCAAGGTTATACGTCTTCTATTAACAAGTCTTTTACACCAAGGTTATACGTCTTCTATTAACAAGTCTTTTTACACCAAACGTCTTCTATTAACAAGTCTTTTACACCAAGGTTATACGTCTTCTATTAACAAGTCTTTTACACCAAGGTTATACGTCTTCTATTAACAAGTCTTTTACACCAAGGTTATACGTCTTCTATTAACAAGTCTTTTACACCAAGGTTATACGTCTTCTATTAACAAGTCTTTTACACCAAGGTTATACGTCTTCTATTAACAAGTCTTTTACACCAAGGTTATACATCTTCTATTAACAAGTCTTTTACACCAAGGTTATACATCTTCTATTAACAAGTCTTTTACATCAAGGTTACATGTCTTCCATAAACAAGTCTTTTACACCAAGGTTATACGTCTTCTATTAGCAAGTCTTTTACACCAAGGTTACATGTCTTCCATTAATAAGTCTTTTACACCAAGGTTATACGTCTTCCATTAACATGTCTTTTACATCAAGGTTATAGTTATAGAGCTAAACTTAAACTACTGCAGGATATTTTGAATACGATAAAAGCTGTTGATGTGGATTCTGTTTGTTTGTTGACCTTTGACCACTCACAGCTTGTCTCTGTTATGCTGTGTATGTAGCTCAAGTTGTGGACCAACAGGCACAATGCTGTAAGGATTTATAGTTGTGTGGCTCACCTGAAAAATTGAAAACATATAAATAGCCATTCATTACTACAGCCTCAACCGCATCATCCAGAGGAAGCAATACTTTTTCATAAATGCAGTGCTTCTAAATTTTCAATGTTTTGGGGATACTCTCTAAATAAAAAGATAAGAGTAAAATGATAAAATAAGACAAGAGTAGATAAGATAAGACTATTATAATAAGATAAGATCCTTTTTTAGATCCAAAAATTTTAATTTGTTTTGATTGCATTGCACATATGGTTTTCAATCTTGAAAGTATTTGAGTTTGTGTTTGTCCCATGACCACTGACAGTTTGAAACTTAATTTGTAACCTTTTTAACTAAATGTCCAATAGGTCCAATGAGCACTGACACTTTGAAACTTGATTTTTAACCTTCTTCACTTAATGTCCGATTGGGCCCATGACCACTGACACTTTAAAACTTGATTTTTAACCTTCTTCACTTAATGTCCAATTGGGCCCATGACCACTGACACTTTGAAACTTGATTTTTAACCTTCTTCACTTAATGTCCAATTGGCCCCATGACCACTGACAGTTTAAAACTTGATTTTTAACCTTCTTCACTTAATGTCCAATTGGGCCCATGACCACTGACACTTTGAAACTTGATTTTTAAACTTCTTCACTTAATGTCCAATTGGTCCAATGACCACTGACAATCTGAAACTTGATTTTTAACCTTTTTCACTAAATGTCTAATCAGTCCCATTAACACTGATAGTTTGAAACTTGAATTTGTAACCTACAAAAGTAAATGTGCAACTAGGGGCCATCCATATATAACATACGCACTCGGGGGGGGTTGATTTTTATATTGTTTATAGGTGAGTTTTGGGGAGGAGAGGGGGGTGCACAGGCAGAAAGTACAAACCATCATGTCACAAATTCTGCAGTTATGAACCTGCCTTTCTGTCTATTTTTATCTCTAAATATCTCTCTTGTCATAGTTTTTATAATCCACAACATCATATCTTGTCATAAGTTAATCAGCCACAAGATCATGTCTTTTCAAGACACTTACATAATAATGCTTCATGATATGCTCCTGATCAACTGTGTTTGCCACGCCTGGTATTTGGTAAATGTCACGGACATAACCCCACAGATTAGAATAGTCCACAATACGTTTTTTATTGGTCTGTAAAAAACAAAAATGAATTTAATTAAAATATGAAATAAAACATCCCTCTTTTAGAGAGCCAATATCTAGCTCGGCTCCAAAGCTGGCTGCTTAGCCCCACACTATGTTGCTTGGCTCCAGAGCTGGCTGCCTAACCCCCACACAACAGTGCTAGGCTACAGAGGTGGCTGCTTAACCCCACACTACAGTGCTTGGCTCTATAAATAGCTTCATAGTTTTAAAAAATATTTAAATAATTAAATTATTCTCAAACACTCTTTGATATTTATAGGAGCAAATTATATCAATTCTAAGGCATCTCACAAGTGTAGCATACTATGTCACTAACCTTAAAGGAGTTTTTCAAAATGGACATTCCCAAAGACTGGAGAAGAGGGCTTTGTTCAAAGGGGGACAACCTTGGACGCGGGGGAGGGGGTGTAAACTTGTAGACTTCGACACACTAGCAATATTTGTTATAAGCTGCTGTAGGCCCGCTGCGAGTATTCCAGTATGTTTTAAAGAAATTAAATCTGGACTTCCTCTATGGCTGATATAATGACAACATTATACCATCATTGAACAAAAGAGACATGGGGGGAGATCACTCTAATTATAAATATTTGGTTGCTATTGAACAACATATGTCAAAATGTGAGTTTTTTGTTTTTAAAAACTTCCTCCAATTTTTAAGTCAGGTTGACTTTAAAACTTCCTCCTATTCTTAGGTCAGGTTGGCTTTAAAACTTCCTCCAATTCTTAGGTCAGGTTGACTTTAAAACTTCCTCCAATTCTTAAGTCAGGTTGACTTTATCCAAATGATTTATGATAAGAGATTAACTTTGAATTTTTAATCTGGTAACGTTTTGCTCTTTATCATAGTTGTTATAATGGTTGATATAATAGTTGTTACAATAATTCTTATACTTCCTGGCATTTTGCACTGTCACTATATATAACCGGGTGTGGCCTTCCGCAACTGACGGGAAGGGAGTGTCCGTTATGAAAAACTCAAAAATGTGTGTGGTAGTGTTACTAATCTTAAAATGTGTGAGATGGTGTTACTTACCTTAAAGTGAGTGTGGTAGACAGTGTCAAACCGTATCAATGTGGTAAAAAGACGGACATCAGCCTCAGTAAGGTTAGGACCAGTCAGATATCTCTTTGAAGATAAAATATCCTCTACCTATGGACAGAGAACTGAGATAACCATCTGATGGCAACATTAAAGTACTCAGAGAACTGAGATAACCATCTGATGACAACATTAAGTACTTTATCTGCTATATAATTAATACACTGAGTAGTATACCAAGAATTTAGTTGTATATTATTATTATTACTATTAGTGGTCTTTAAGAATATACCAAGAATATAGTCATAAATGTTTAAGTGTAAACCAAGAACTTAGGTAATTGAGGCCATTTACGGTTCATACTATGCACATGGCAGAGTACACTGGCTATATAAACGCTAGAAAGAATTATTTAGCTAAGTCTAAATCTAAGAATCTGAGTAATCTAAGGATTTCCCCTGCAGTTGATCATACCTTATCCAGCCCGTCAAACAATCCAGTCACTGCCTCATCATAAGCTTCCTGAGATTTAGCAAACCCGCAGCGATAAACACCATTATTGATCTGACTGAAATCAATCAATAAATCAGGCATTATCATTTTTATGTAAACATCCGGTATGATCGTTTTTATCTATACATCTGGCATTATCATTTTTATCTACACATCCGGCATTAACATTTTGATTTGATTTTTATTGTCAGGAAAATTTTCATGTCCATTAAAACTAAATAAACATTTAGCTATGTAACAGTTACCCATTTATAGATACTGATTAAACTATGTAACAGTTACCCATTTATAGATACTGATTAACCCATTTATAGATAATGATTAAACTATGTAACAGTCATCCATTTATACTTAATTTCGATCATTTCTTTTTACCTAACCTGGTTACCTAACCCTTAATATCATAATTATAATGGTGTAAGGCATCATTTAATACACTACTAATTGTAATATGAAAGGTATAATTTAATACACTACAAATTGTAATAATAAAAGGCTTACTTTAATACACTACTAATTGTAATGTGAAAATAAGGCATAATTTAATACACTACTAATTGTAATAACAAAAGGCATAATTTAATACACTACTAATTGTAATGATAAAAATCATAATTTAATACACTACTAATTGTAATAATTAAAGGCATAATTTAATACACTACTAATTGTAATGGTGAAAGGCATAATTTAAAACACTACTAATTGTAATGGTAAAAATCATAATTTAAATACACTTTATAAAAATGACAATGTCGTGTTGTTTTTGAAAAAAAAATCATACTTCAGCTTTATTTGTTACGGTACACTTTATTCTCGGGGGCAGGTCAACCCTAAGATAAGCTTCAAAGAAAAACTGAAATGTACATTACTTCTCTGTGTAATTCATTTAGTAAATTTTCACTCTAATGATTTATTTACTGCGTGCCATTATTCTTGTATGCCCTGATACAAATGTGGCCTGATACAAATGTGCCCTTATACCATAGTGTGTAATACTCATGTGCCCTTTATATACCAATCATATGCATAACACTTGAATATACTAAGCATCAAACAGGCCAGCGGTATCTAAAGCTGGTGTACTGTCATCAAATACTTTAGTGATATTCACTATCTTTTGAAGCTCAAATTTCTATGGAATGAACAGAAGTTTCCTACTTTGTGCTACACCTACTGGTGGAGGAAAAGGTAGTGTAGGAAAGGGTGGTGTAGGAAAGGATGGTGTAGGAAAGAGTGGTGTAGGAAAGGGTAGTGTAGGAAAGGATGGTGTAGAAGAGAATGTTGTAGGATAAGATGGTGTAGGAAAGGAAGGGGAAGGGGTGGTCACACTTCTTTCAATTATTGAGGTGCAGCATTCTCAGCAAATTTAAGCATTTAGTTCTTGGGAGGTGGGGGGAAGGAGACAAAAAAATATTAGCCCACCCCTGGCAGCACTAACCCTAGTTACATCACTGGCCAAATAAGTATCTTTGGTCATCATAGATTACAAACTGTGGGTCACTCACGGGTAGATCCAAGAATTTAAGCCATCAATTTCAGGTCTTAGATCTTCTGGATAGAGATTCAGTGCTTCCTGTTCAGGTGTCTTACAGAATTCTTGGAACTCACTATTAAGCATCCGGATGATTTCACTGGACTCATTGTTGACAACAGTCTGGGTTTTTTTATCCCACAGACAAGGCACTGTTATGTTGCCACTGTATGCTAGAAAATACAAGGCAAATACAACAAAGATAGCAGGAACTACTGTCAGACAAGGCACTGTTATGTTGCCTCTGTATGCTAGAAAATAAATTGTTACCACATAAAAATAATGGAAGCTACTCTCAGATATAATGCTCTGTAATGCTGCAACTGTTTGTTAGTTCTATAGTGGTAAAGACAGTACAATATTTTTTACTTTATTATTGTGTATTAAATTTGCCTCAATCCATGTTCACTTTTCTCGAATATTACTCTTATAATTTATAGTGATGAATTTAATATACAGAAAATACAACTCACTTGGGTCACTCTTTGCATAGATTTCTTTGAGGTAGCTACAGTTGTTGACTGTGTCTAAGGAACATTTTGGTTTCTGTTTCAGAAAACATCATGATATATTTTGAAGCCGTACATTGAGAACACTGCTATATACATTTAACACACTGTAAATGTAGAGAAAATGTTAGGTTTTGTTGGCAAAAATTAAAATTGTCAACTATAACTTGATGCACACAAGCTGTGTGCAAAGAGCTGTGTGCAATGCAGAAAGCTGTGTGCAGAGAGCTGTGTGATGTGCAAAGAGCTGTGTGTCGTGCAGAGAGCTGTGTGTAGAGAGCTGTGAGCTGAGAGCTGTGTGCAGAGACGCCAAAAAATATTACAGAATTTCTAAATTTATTTATATTTTTAATACAGAATTTCCAAGACATCTAGTTTGATGTAAACCAGTAACTTACTTCAGTAATAACTGTTTGTAGAAGCCCTAGAAATGGTTACTAAATGGCACTTTTGTGATCCTCGATAGTGTTCTATTAATATTTACCTAATATTTTAATTTGAAAAAAAAGTATCTATTTTGCTATGTTCTTTTTTAGAATTTGACTAATGGCATTGCTGGAAAACTGGATCCAGCAGAGACCTGTACCTCTGAAAAGTTTGGGAACCACTATAATTTCAAATCATGTCGACCTAATTTTTAATATGATAACCATACAAATGTAAATTTTGTCCATTTAAGTTTTCAAACAAAATTTTGTACTATTTAAATTCTCAAAATCATGTCTATTTCTAATTGATTCTCCTCCATTCAGAGCATGCAGTGTTCAACCGATATGGTGATATTCACTAGCTTTGACTGAACTTTAATGTGTACATTGTACACTTAGAGAGAGCATTGATATTTTTTAGAGTTTTTTGTCAATCTTTTTATGGAACATTGCATCAAATTATTATTAGTCATTTTATAAGTATCATTTCTAAAGTGATGCAAATTTAAAACAAGCCAATTGTATACCTGGTCAGTGAATGCCCAGCCATTTTTATCCAAAAACCAGTCCACTACTGTAAATGAGATGATATCCTCCAGGCCTTTGAGAGAACGGACAATAAGAGTTCTGTGTGCCCATGGGCATGCCAGAGAGACATAGAGATGATAACGATTGGCCTCTGATTTAAACCCTGAAGATCCATCAGCTGTAAAAATATTACAAACTGATGAAAAAAACTCAAAAGGAAAAAAAAATCTTATTTGTTTGAGTGTAAGCAGCAAGGGACATGTACATATAGGTCTTGGGTTTTTATTCCAAACGTCTTTAAAAGGACAATTGAAAAAGTGATTTTGAATTATTTTTTAATCATAAATTGTAATAAAAGCAAATATTATCTTCATCTTTCAAAAAAATTATAAACGTATAGTGTATCCCAGGTTCCTCGATGCTACACTTACCAATATAATAGAGTGATTAGATAATACTATTATAATGGAGTGATTTCATAATAATAATATAATAGAGTGATGTGATAATACTAATATAATAGAGTGATTTGATAATACTGATATCATAGAGTGATTTGTTAATACTGATATCATAGATTGATTTGATAATACTTATATCATTGAGTTATTTGATAATACTGATATCTTAGAGTGATTTGTTAATACTGATATCATAGATTGATTTGATAATACTGATATCATTGAGTTATTTGATAATACTAATATCATTGAGTTATTTGATAATACTGATATCATAGAGTGATTTGATATTACTATCAAGTGTAAAAGAATCAAATGTTTTATCTGTTCTAAGGAATGTTGAATTTTCTGGTCTTCTGCAATGATGATTTCAGCCCAGCCTTCTGTCCCCTTTCAGCTCTCATATATATATAGTCAGGTACACTGTCTTTGAGTCCATTCAACTGTCAAATTGTCTGGTATAGTGTCTTTGTTTTTTATTAGTATTATTATTATTATACGTGGTTTTATATAGTGTGGTACCACAGCCTAGGGCTGGCCTCACCATGCTGTACATACAATTTAACAAACATAATCAAAAGCTTAAAAAATTAATTAACCTACATTAACTTAATTAAATCAAACAAAGCAAATGTATATTTAAAACTATTTACATGTCAAGCCATGGACAAAACCCAGTAATATCATTTTTCGGTCAGAGGAGGGAATCAGTCAGGTCAGTAGAGTTTAAAAAGATGTGTTTTGAGTGCATTTTTGAAGGTTGTGATGGTTGGTATATTGTGAATGTGTAGTGGAAGAGAATTCCATTTTTTGGGGGCACAGAAAAAGAAAGATCATTCACCATATGTTTTTGTGCGAGTCTTGGGGACAGAAATACTACGCGCGTCTGCGGAGGAGCGGAGCTGTCGAAGGGGTGAATAGACAGAGAGAAGTTCGGTTAGATAGGAAGGGGAGGAATTCGAGAAAAAGTTGTCGCAGAAAACAGAGAGTTTGTAGTCAATCCATGCTTGTACAGGGAGCCAAAGAAGTGAATGAAGTAGTGGTGTGACGTAATCACGTTTTTTTTTCTTTAGAATAAGCCTAGCAGCTGAGGTTTGAACCTTTAGTAATTTTTCTAAGAAGTGTTTTGGTGAACCTGATAGAAGAGAGTTACAATAGTCAAGACGATAAAGAACTAGAGCACAGACTAGGGTTTTTGTTGCACTAACTGTGAGGTATTGGGGGATGGAGCTGATCTGACGAATAGCGGTGTATGTAGAGCAACAAATGTGAGAGATATGATTATCGAGAGACATGTTGTTAGAATATAACCAAGATTCCTAGCAGAGGATGTAAACTGAAAATCAGGGTTACCAACATGAAATGAAGTGGGGAGAGCCGAGTTAGAGGATGATTTGTGATCGTGAATAAGGAGTGCTTCTGTTTTGTCATCGTTAAGCTTCAACTTGCTGAGTGTCATCCATCAACTGTCATATAGTTTGGTACAATGTCTTCATGTTATTTTCTCTGCCTCCTCTGCAAAATTCTCAACATAGTTTCTTCCATTGTCTCATCAAACATATTCTCCTCCAGTCTGTGTATTATTTAGTCTTGCTCTTTCATTTGGTCTTGTGGATTTGGACTCAAGGATTCAATTCTAGAATAGTCTCTTGAATTTTTCTTCATATTAAAATAAAAGTGACTATAATTTATGTTAATTTAATTTTACTGCCTATATACCTGTTATCCAATTTCTAAATGCAGATTCTTTTCTAACAAAAGCCCCCTTAGAGTCCACACTTGAGCGCCAGGACTGTTTTACATTGGTATCTGCAGTGTCATTACCATCGGAAGCCATTTCAGTATCCTCTGATTGAAACATACAAATGTCAATAAGAATGCTGTACTGTAATGGTGTTGGAAAGCAGAAAACAACAGGCATGTTTTAACAATTAATATTGGTAGTGCACTTAACTTACAATAGTGGGTTTGTAGCTTACAAACTCTCTTAGAGAACGAGCTATTTCTTTAGGTATTTGTTACTTGCTTGCAAATGCCTCAACTCTTTTAAGGGTGTGAAGACATAAAAAGTCCTAATAAATACCAGCCAATGACACATTATTTTTTGTTACATATTATTATTGGCATAACAAGTATAGAAATCTTTTACAAAAATAAGAGCTACAAAAATGTTTGTGATGCTGCATGTGACATCACATAAAATGTAAAACATAATGGAAACACCTTGCAATCAATTAGTTATTTTTTCCATAATTTATTTATATGCTACAACAATTTTTAATAATTAAATTTTAATTCTTTACATTTTTGAATTTATGATTGTTGTCAGATTGTATTTGATTGAATACTTTCATTTTTAAACTACAATCACTGTTCTTTTACTGAGTGCAACTAGACTGTGGGAACTTTAAGGCCTTCTCAGGTATGAGAGGTCCATTTAATTGGGCTCTAACCACTGATTGCTTTATTCTGAGACTATCAAGTTACAGTATGCCAAGTGGGACAAGAGAGGAAGGTGCATTTATATTTCACAGTCGGAATCAATGACGTCAAAAAAGAAGGTGACAGGAGTTCACGTGAATCTGTGATCTAGGGATAGGAAACAATGAAAAATAGTTTTCAGGGGAAAATAATCTTAATAAATGTTCTTGGGGAAATTGCTCTAGCTGAGTTGTAATAATAGTAATGTGATAGGCCCATACATGGGCAAGGAATGTTTGAGAGTTTGCAAACAAAAAGGTTACTATCAAGTGTTGTGGTCAGAGTGAATATTATATTCATACAACAATGACAATTCAATAAAATAAAAATGATCTGAAAGATTAATTTTTATTTTCGAAAATATGGTGAAGGGCGGGGGCTTAGAGGTATTTGACATAATATTTGAGGGGGTCTAGATATTTGTGAAGATTTGTGACGAGGAAGGAGAGGTGCTAAAATCTACAAATATAGCATTGTCAATTATGATATGGAAATTGATGGCCCATGGCCCTAAACTGGCGATAAATTTACTATTTACATCTTTTGGTAGCCTATATTAAATGACTATATTTTACTATAAACTATACAGTGGCTATTCGGACCAGGGTATCAGAAGTGAGAAGTTGGAATTAAAAAATATTTAAAATATTATTGTTGGGTTTGTAACAAGACAAAATAAGTTATCAAATGAAAGATAATTGAATGGAGTATATATGTTTGTAAACTTACTTCTTCAGATAAACTAAAATAAACTGCCACAAATGACATCAAAATAGCATTTAGTCTAAAGGGACCTATTTCTGATACCCGGGTCTGAATAGCCGCAGCATAAATAAATGATAATAGTATCGGTTATGCACCCCTACTTTCAAATTTTTTTCAAAGTGGTTGTGTGCACTGCGGCAGTGTACCTAGCAAAACCATGGACCTAGACCTCCGTACTCTGTGGCAGTGTACCTAGCAAAACCATGAACTTAGGCCTGCGTACACCGCTGCAAAAATGCACCTGGTTTTAAGATGTGTCTGTTAGATAACATCTTGTGTGGTCTTGCGGTAGAGAAGACGCTTGGCGATATTATATTTTGTGATCAATTCCCAGTAGGGATTCGAGTTTTAATAAATTTTTTTCCATTTTAATTAAAAATATTTATATTTAAATTATCATGTTCATTTGCAACAGTAGTTTCATGAGAAGTTTTTAAATAATTTTGTAGCAATTTAAACATTTTAAATATATGTTAAATTCAGATTATTAAGTGTTTCAACAAGTTTTGCCAGCCTTTGACTTTGAAAATACCGGTAATAAGACATTAGAAAACAAACTGAAAGCTCATGTATAGTGTATGTAACATGTATAAGAGAACTATTTTGAATACTAAGCGATAGTTTATTGTATTTCAACATTCTTCATGTTGTTGAATATTTCTATTTTACTTTTACGAACACCCAAAGAAAATACCAGTATATCATATGAATATTAATGTGCATGGTCGTATTTCATCCATCTTGCTTTCATTATGAATTGGCAAAATTTACACACGATATCCACAGTTCATTCACAACCCTCAGTCTCACAGCAAATCTTTTGAAAACACCACGATTTTAGAAACTTTGGCGCGGTAGCAAACTGTATAACAAAGCCATAGGTCTGCATTTACCCTGTTCATGACGGAATTTGCTCCAGAATGGCATGGCATGTTCTATTCTCAGGGTAAAACACGACGTTGTCTAACAGAAACCATTGCACAATGTGCTTGGGACAGGATTTGCGCTAATTCTAAGTTTTTTTATTTGTTGTTTTTTGTTAAGAAATCGATCAATGCCAGGGGGGTGGGGGTGAGTTAGGGGCAGAGGCTTAAGCAAAAAGGGGGCCTACAAAAATCACGGCTCTGGATAGGCGTTGTCCACAAAGGACATCCAAACAACAAACTTACCTTTTGCATACCCCCCCCTCCGGGCTGATGTCCGTCAGCATTTTTTAGTAATGTGTAATGCCAATGTAAAACTAATTCAAAGACATTTAATTATTGTTAAAAGACTTTTAAAAATCACTGCAATGTTTTGTATTTATCGTCATTCTGTTGTTTTGTGTTGACAATCGCTTGATATCACAAAATCAAAATATAACAATGCCTTAGACAACTTTAACTTCATGATCAATTTTTTTGTGATTCTCTGCCTGTAATGTATTTGTGGCGTAATTATATCTTGGAGTTAATAAAATAGATACACTGGCTTCCCATTCATTTTTACACCACGCCCCGAGGGATCACATACAATGTTATAATTATAATGCACACCCCCCACATTAAAAACAAAAAAAAACTAGTTGGGGGGGGGGGAGGGGGGGGGGGTTAATCTAAATTTTAAACTTACACTAATTAATAAATATATTTGTATTTCAATATGTGGTAGGGAATAAAGTAAAGTGTCAGTGTTAAGTCAAGTGGTTAACTTTAAAAATAAATCAAGAAATCATGGTTTAACATTACAATTACACCCCCTCCTTCCTCCTTTCCAATAAATACTAAGAAATTTTCTTTACAATGAATACTTTGCCACAAAAGTGAGGAACTACCCAATATCTTCCTTCCAATGTATTACATTTTTTAAAATAAATAGTTTTCAGATTTAACGACTCGCAAAGACAGACAATGGTTTTGCTGCTTTAAATCGCTGCGGTGTACGCAGGCCACATCCAATGATTTGGCTAGGTACACCGCCGCGGTGTACGCATGCCAAAGTCCATGGTTTTGCTAGGTACACCGCCGCGGTGTACGTAGTGCCGGCTTTTTTTTTTTTAATTCCGTATCTCAAACTTTGGGCCTTTACTTAAAGCCTTTATGACTTATGCCATAACTTATAGCACTTGACTTATCAAAATTAAGTTATGCTCTGACTCTGCTGACACTCTACTTCGAGTCCGTATTCTGAGCGTCAGCAAGCATCATCTCATTCTCATCAATCATGATACTAATCAGATCACTAATCGTAGACGTAGACGGGAGGGAAGGGGTGTTTATTTCATGAATTATTTTGGGTGTTAGTTCTGTTTATTAAGTAGGTTTTAATAAATGGGTATGCTGCATTTCACTTAATTGTTACGCGAATAAAAATTTTAAATGGATTTTATTTTCTGGGTCTACCTTTTGCCTTTTTCTTTTTTAAACTTATATCAGATATTCCGAATGAAGACTTATGAATCACGGAAATCAATACTTTGCTACTAGTTAACTTTTTTTCCTAGAGAGTATCATTTGCCTTAGCAACAAATCATTGCTGCTCAAATGGCTTATGGTACCAGTACTTTATTTTGTATCCGGTCCTACTGGATTGCTTTTAATTTTAATAATAAATAGAGGAACAAAATATGTTTAGGCCTGTAATTAAATAAGTCCTGGATACAAAGTTTTTCGTATTAATCCTTTATAAAATTGAATATCAAGCATGGGGGGTGGCGGTGTGAAAATTTGGAAAAACGCATGCAAGAAACGATCTTTATCACTTTATTTGTTTAAACATGTAGCTCACAACCACATGTTTTTGTTTTTGTTTTTTTTGTTTTTTTACGCCGCTACTATATTAATAAACTAATGGCCCACCCGATTTAACACCGCAGATTTTTTTCTCCAACTTATAACTATTTCAGAAAAACAAAAGAAAATATTAGTATTAGTATTACCAACACAGACGCACTTGCAATAATTTTGTTTTAATAATCTCATTTAGCGCAGTTATCGGAATTTTATTTCGTAAAATCAGTGTCATCATATTTCCTTCATCTTTCCCTTGAAAAACAGGAAAAACCGATTTATTTATTTTATTTATTTTTTTATTTATTTTTTTTGGGGGGGGGGGGAAGGGCTGAAAATTTGATTTGCTGTCATCGGCAACAAGTCTGTGTGCCAAGTTTAAGCTCGATAGATTGACGGGAAGTGGGTCGTTTAGCCGTTCGAATATATTGCCAGCCAGCCTGAATAAAGGTGAAGTTAATATGGAGGGTTTTTAAAATACAGATCAATTAAACGCGCGTTTCAGTTAAATACCTCATTAAGCAGACTATACAAAATGAACAACAATGTAACAGATCAGGTAAATTTAAATAGAAAAATAAAACTTATATTTATAATAATGTTTTTTTTATATATTATAAGCGCTGGGCTCACCGCGCTACACATAAAATTATTAGCCAATATAAGCAAGACCGTACATAATTACATACATTTTTTAAATTAAAAAAACATATGTAGACATATAAAGGGGCCGTCTATAAAGTACGTCACGCTCCAGGGGGGGGGGGAAGGGGGTGTAAGAAAGTGTGACAGTTTGTGACAGGGGTAGGGGGGTCAGGCCATGTGTGACGTCATACATTTATTTTTATTTTTGTTATTTTACTTCTAATTTATTTTTTTTATATTTTTAGTGAAATTTAATAGCTTTAAAAATAATGTTCAAAAATTGTGTGTATCATTTGAATTAGTTTTATGTCAAAATAGCATGAAATGCGTATCTCCTGAATGTGTTGTTCACGATTCCTCTCGCTAGGAGCGCTCGTATGCTGTTGCGAAGCCTTGTTTTATATATAGCCTTGCCGAGATCAACAGGATTTTTCAAAGTACAATTAAATGAACTTTATTGGCCATCTTTGCAGACTAGCTTACTTGATCGAATTAGCAAAGTACATTGTATGTCACTTATAATTTGCCTCACAAACAATGTCGAAGAAACATGCAGGACAACACAGAGCTCAGGCTTGGGAGAATGTGCCAACCCAAACTGTTTCAGAATCAACTCAGATAAAACGCATCAGTCCTTTGAGAATCGCTGCTAGAAGACAAAGAGAACTCATGGCAGTTATTGCCAGAAGAGAAAATGCACATTCAGATAATGTTCAGCGGCTATATGAGGATGAAGTGGATCTGTCTGCAATTATCCTTCCAGGAAACGATAATGTCGAAAGATTGATGCCAGTCGTAACTATGGATGACACTTCACTTCACCATGGATGGATGATGTCCAGTGAATAATTTTGAATTAAACATAATTCACAGGCCCATAATAAACAGATTCAATATAGCACAAGAGATTGACACATATTTTGTCAATCTAGTCTTTTTTTAGTCAAATTGTTTTGTTTTCTTTTTATTATTTAATCACTGGGCGAGGTCAAGTTTCGCTAATTTACTTCTTATCCTGTGTAAAAAGATTGCATAATCGGAAATCATCTAAAACTTGACTGTCGAGTATGAGCGTTCATTAGTAATTGTTGCGACTGAATATTTTGTACATTAGTCATTGAACGCTCTTCCCGCCATTGTCTCTATGACGTATTTTTATGCTGATTGGTGACGTATTGTCTATGCAGTATTGTGACGTATGTTTTAGTCGTGCGGCAGTCTTGAGTGGAACTTTGGAGTGATAGGATGTGTGTTATTTAGGTCTGATAGCGAGTTGCGCTATATTCACGTGTTATGTGTATTATATTTACTTAGACATTAAAGTTATAGTTATTATGAAAAGGAGTTGAGTTTGTTCAATGATAGAGAGAATAGTACGACGCTTCAACGTGTGGAAAGAACTTGACGAATGTAATCAATCCAAGAAGACTGTAGGAGTTGACATTGACCTCACCTAGCCTATTGTAAATGAAAAAGCAGCAGATAAATGATGTGTATTATATAATTGTCTAGTCTAATTTTGCAATTTTTTGTTTTCAAATTCAATCTAGATTGAGTTACTGCTTCAATGAATAACTGTGACACCTGTTGAAAATTAACTATTCTCCTATTAAAGTAATTTTAATAATGTGTTACTGGGAATTAAGTGGAAATTTTATATTTTGACTTTCGGCCATGACTGAGGTTTTCGGTCATCTAATACTCAGCGAAAGCGATATTTAACAACAAACTAAGCGACATTTAAGAACAAACTAAACGATCTTTAAGAACAAATTAAGCGATCTTTAAGAACAAACTAAACGATCGTTAAAAACAAATAAAGTGATCATTAAAAACAAATAAAGCGATCTTTAAGAACAAATTAAGCGATCTTTGAGAACAAACTAAACGATGTTTAACAATAAACTAAGTGACATTTAAGCACATACTAAACGATCTTTCAAACAAACTAAGCGTTCTTTAAGAACAATCTAAGCGATCTTTAATTTTAAAAAAACGAAATGATCTTAAAGAACAAACTAAGCGATTTTTAAGAACGAACTAAAAGATCTTTAAGACCAAAACAAATTATCTTTAATAGTAAACTAAATGATTTATAAGAATAAACTAAGCGATCTTTAACAGAAAACTAAATGTTCCTTAGGAACAAACTAAAAGATCTTTAAGAACAAACTAATCGATCCTAAGGAACAAACTCAATTATCTATGAGAACAAACTAAGCGATCCGATCTTTATGAAAAAACTAAGCGATCTTTAACAGCAAAATATGCGATCTTTAAGAACAAACTAAGCGATCCGATCTTTATGAAAAAACTAAGCGATCTTCAACAGCAAAATATGCGATCTTTAAGAACAAACTAAGCGATCCGATCTTTATGAAAAAACTAAGCGATCTTCAACAGCAAAATATGCGATCTTTAAGAACAAACTAAACGGTTTTTAATTTAAAAAAAACTAAAAGAACTATAAAAACAAACTAAGAACAAACTTTAAGAACACTCTGAATGACCTTTAACCACAACTAAGCGATATTTAAGAACAAAATAAACGATCTTTAAGAACAAACTAAGCGATCTTTATGAACAAACTAAACGATCTTTTAATAACACAAACTAAGCGATCTTTAAGAACAAAACTTAGGGATCTTTTTTGAACAAAATAAATGATCTTTAATAACAAACTAAAAGATGTTTAAACAAAAACTAAACAATCTTAAAGAACAAACTAAGCGATCTCAAACAACACAATAAACGATTTTAACAACAAACTAAGCGATCTTTATGAACAAACTAACTGATCTTTAAGAACAAATAACCGATCATTAAAAAAAACTGAACGATCTTTAGCAACAAACTAAGCGATCTTTAAGAACAAACTAAACGATCTTTAACAACAAGATGTTATATTAGATTTTATTTATTAATATTCACGATTATCTCATTTTTTATAAAAAGAATGTAAATATTTATACTTTCCCCCCATCATTTTCGATGTATGCAGAATGTATGCGGGAACGAATCTCAAAATATCTAACTATTTCGGTTTCGGCCGAAAGTCATTTTTAACTTTCAGCCTTTTTTCGGTTTCGTCTTCGGCCGGAATCAGAAAATGACTTTCGGTCGATCTCTAACGTCTAAAGGACAGTGACAGAATTATGCACCGGACAACATAGAAATAATAATACTTGAGGAAAGATAAAAGCAAGGCCATACATAAAACAGAAAAGTGCGCCCCATTGAGCAGGTGATTGTATTGGTAGTTTGTAGGCCTCCAGTCCTTAAAGCAATGCTGCTACTGAGTTGTATCCTATGCCTATAGAAATTATAATCATGCCATTTTTTGTGTGTTCGTCCTTCGCATGCGAATTCAGGAGCTTAACTGGGTTTTTGACGCCCTTGGCTAATTTATTTTTGGCGCCCTTTTGTTTAAATAAATATTTAAAATTAGAGATTTAGCGGCGC